AGACTCCTCGGCCCGAAATTGCTTCCTCTTCTTAATCTTTTGGGCCATTGTCTTCTACTTAGGGCGAGCAGCCTAGGTTAAGAAGCATCTGTAGGTTGAACCGGTGCACTCGTCGGAGTCCCTTTGACGAGGGGACCGATGGAAGCTGCCCTGGCTGATCCAATGATGCAAACTCGAGGGAAGGTGAACTACTATGGTCACGGCGACTTTGGCACTTTTGGAGGCATGGTTGTTGCATGCAAACATCGTTAGCTAAACAATTTGCTGCATGCAAATAACGAAATTGGCTCAGGTTATGACATTTACTCGGTAAGGTTTATAAGGTCGCTTCGGGATTGAAGAAACTGTATTTTTGCAAGTTTGCGGTTGTCACAAGTAGCCTCACGTCACGACTTTGTTTGGGCAAAAGGCCATAAGTAGTGATTCTGTCGAGATCAGCGAGAGCCAATAACCTGGTCGTCTTGTTGACTGTGAAGAAACAAAAAATTCATTAGCGAAGATTAAGCGGAAATTTGCCAAGCCAAAGAAAGGAAAACCTACTTGGCTCCCTAAATTGGCAAATGCCATCATAGTGAAAAAAGAAAAACTTTGTCTCATATGCCCCGATGTTGTTGGGGTATCTGTGTATTCCTCCCTCGATTGTAGATCGCTTCGAGAGGTAGAAAAAGTCCTTGTCTTTACTCTTCTTCAGATAATACGAGCAACCAAACTCTAACGCGGTTAGCTCGCCTAAACCGTTCTCGCCGCATGCGATATAAATAGCCATGACTATCATATACGCATTTAGCGTAAGCTGCAACGGTGCGACCCCGAAATGATCGAGGACCGACCTAATAAAAGGGTGGAAAGGGATCAACACTCCACTCTTAAAAATGTTCTCGGAGATCGCAGCCATTCCTTTTGGCAGATTCCGAGCTGTGTAAGTCCTATGTTGGTAGACCTCTAAGCTGAGAGTGTATTGGTCTACCGCTTTCTGAATATCTTCTACGGTGGCTACTAACCAAATCTCCTAAAAGGGACCTGCTGGGGCATCCTGCATCGACGAGCGCGCTCCCTCATCTGTCCTAGTCGCTGAGGGGTTCATTTCTCCTACAGTCTGAAAAAAGTGACATCCAGGAATTACTCAGTCGTCATACACTATTTCGTACGATGATGTGAAGGAAAAAGTGAACACTATCTTCCTCAAACCCTAGAAAAACCCTAAAAAATCCTTGGGGGCCACCCCCAAAGACTCAAACCTTAGGAGAAAGCTTATTCTCCAATCAACCACCAGCAAACGATCACCATTATCGCATAACCATCTGCAAAAAAGCAGAAAAAGGAAAGTGATAAGAGAATCATCCTTACCTCTTGAGTATGAAGATTGATTCTCCTGCTCTGAACGTCAAGTGTGCACCAGTCTAAAAGACAGAAAATCGAGGCTCACGAAAGCTTCTTGTTCTCTCTGAAGAGGTGAGTATTATGACATTACTTGAGGTGAGCTAGGGGTTTTATAGTGAAGGAAGTGGCGCTTGACTTTCCCGAAGTCAAACGACATTTGAGCGAAAATCGTCTCTCACCATTGATCGCGACCACACGTCGTCAATCAACGTGAAAGAGTAACTATCACGCTTCGAGAAATCAAATCGTTGTTTCTCTCCGTTGAAATACTCAAGTGACGGCTCACTTCTCTCCTCCACATTAAATGTGTTCCCATCCGCATTTAATATTTTGATAGGGAATGTCGTTTTAGCATGGCTCGCATTTAATGCCCATGGTTGGCACTTATTGCGCATAAGACACGTCTGTCAGAGCAAAAGGTGTTTCATTAATGTATCTGTTGCCAAAGCACAACAGATAACATCTGAAGAGGTCGTTAGATAAAACACTCTTCATTGCATGTCAGTTGCGAAGCGACGTGACTCTGCCTTCAACAAAAAATACACTAAGTGTAATCAGGTCGTGAACCTCGGTCAAAACTGGAATCATCGCCATGGCACTGAATAAGGTCTAGTATAGGTCGCAGGCCTTACGGAAAAAGACCATTTCAGGTCGCCTATATGGAAATATTTCGCGACCTCCTCGCAACCAGGTCGGATCGACCAACGGTCACTCAGCACATCAAATCAAGGCATGATTGCGTAGTTTTCAAGGTTTGATCCTCGAACCTTAAAAACTAGGGGACTTCTGTTATGCCTGAGAAAGTAGGGCTGACATCAAGCCTTGTCAGCATGGGTGGTTGGAGCTTAAGAAGGATAAACAACCACTCAGATGTAGCCACGTCGCATGATGACGTGAGCAGCATGCTCTTGCCAGTGCAGTGGATATACGTCAAGTTGGAGAAAGGCTAGAAAGGGTCCACGTGTCCAATCCCTGCACAAGTCGAGGAAATCACTCGGCCATGCAAGTAATGGGATGCAGAGAAGGATTTGCATGGCATCTGCCCCACTCATAGATTTAGTGATCATTACCTTAATTCATCCCACTATAAATAGAGGGCTCCTCTCCCGTTTGTGGGATTAGCTAATTTTTCTCTAAAATAGAATACACACACACACACACACTCTCTCTCTCTCTCAATTGTATTTCTTAAGCTATAAATCAGCTCGCTGAACGCGACCTAACTTCACTTATTAATACAATATCAGTGGACGTAGGATTCGCTTGTTTGAGCATCTGAACCACTTTAAACATTGATCTTCATCCCTTATTTAATCAAACCCCCCATAACTACGTGTGACTTTTGAGTCCGCTCAGCATTTCCCACGTGCGAATAGTTGGTGTCAAAATCACGCATCAACAACATTATTAACCAGAAATAGTTCATCTTAGAAAATGTACCAAAAAATTCTACCACACGGACTCGAGAAGATAGTGTAAAAGACAATTTTACATACAATAGTTTCAATATATATTTTCTTTTGATATAAATCTAAAGGGAAAGAGCTTTTCACACGGGAATATTCTCCTTTGATTTGTTCATAGGGGCGGAGCAAGATTGTTTTATTTTTTTATTTTTTTATTTTTTTTTTGGGAGGGCTGAAATGTAGAATTCAATGAACAAAGGGGTTTAGAGTGTAAATATGGATTTAGAAAGTTGCACTAATAGGGTTTAAGTGTCAGGTTAAGCGAATGAGGTGGTCAAAAAGTGAAAAAGTGAATATTTAAGGGTAAAAAAAAATGTCTTTACATAAATGTAAAAATTTTGTGAGATTCGGGGTGGTCACACATAGCTCTACTGCTGGTGTTCATCTAATCATGGTATGTTACATTAGTACACAATAGGGGTGAGCATGGATAAATGGTAGAATCAGAACTGGCCTCATTAAAGTCTAGTTTCGGTTCTAGAAAATTGGAATTGAGAATTCTCGGTTCCGGTTCCTATAGTGTTGGAACTGGGAACCGAAACTAGAATCGAGGTCCGTGTACTTAGATAGGAACATGACTAAATTGTAATTTGTAATTTTTCAAAGGAGGTAATTGAAATTTACCTGGATACCCAAAAACATAATTGAAATTTATGTTTCAGGTTATGGTTTTGATTCCAAATCTTAGGAATCGGCAGATTCCAGTTTTAATTCTGGTGTTGGTTCCTTAAAAAAATATAGGGTACTTAGAACCGATCAATCCTAGTATACATATGAAAAATGATATCCTTATAAAGACCCATATAAAGAGGGTTACAAAGTGACATCAGCAAGAAAAAAAACAAAGAAAAAACGGAAAAAAAGAGAGAGAGAGAGAGAGAAATCATGAAAATCAAGGGTGAGGATTGTCTTTGTATATCCCCTTTGTATTTATCTTTATAAAACTTGTATTGCTTGTACACATACATACACCGTGTTTATTGAATATATAGAGACGACGTAAAGAGAGGTGAATATCAATTTGAGCTCTTAAAAATCATTTAAAAAAAAAAAAGATCCCACACCTTAATGTTGTCTATATGGATAATATATGATAAAAATGTACCATAGAAGTGAAGCACTGACATTTAGCTAAATATCTCTCTAATTGAAAAGGCTTTTTTAATTTCTCGTCTTCCGAAAAGCAAATAAAAACATAAACAGTTGAAACCTTGGACAGACTGATTGAATAATTGAGATGTGAAAGCTTACCAGATTAAAAACCCAATGAGTACTACATTTCTTTTTTCTGATGTGTGGGGACGTGGCCAGTAGATCCATTAGAACCACAAAGTGAGCAAACAAAAACCAACATCAAAGCCAATAAATTGGATATTTTATTGGATAACATTACAATTATCGAAGAATACGTATCAAATTTATACATTGAATAATATAGTATTATCCTATTTTTAAAAAAAAAATTTATAATTAATCAACGATCAGATGACGTTACATTATTCGATGCGTATTCTTCAATAACTGTATTATTTTTCTATTTTATTATATAAAATCTCCATATCAAAGTTTATGTAATTTAAATTTTAAACCAATCACAAACTATAACACATCCTCTCTCTCTCTCTCTCTCTCTCTCTCTCTCTCTCTCTCTCTCTCTCTCTATATACCTATAGATTGGATTATACTACTATATATATATATATATATTAGAGCCCAAAAATAAAAGAAGGAAATCGTCTTTTTACTGATATTGATATATCAATCGATTATAAGACAAATATATGACATATAGAAACTTTTATGTTAGTTGATTATATTTCAAAAAACTCGGCTTCTAAATGGGTTAGGTGGTGCAAGTCTTTATGTAGACTTGTATTTCGTTGAAGACACATACGACAAAATATAATGGGTCAAAAGAAATCCCACACTTAAATTTCCAACGGATCACCACTATTGTAATAATTTCTTGGGACAGTGATTGATGGGTCATTTTCAATTTTTCACCACAAAGTGTTAGTACATTTTAAATTAAATTTGATTTATTTATTTATTTATTTTTATTTCAACGCTTTGTCTGTGTGGGATAATATTACACTTACAAGCTTTGGTATTGGTGTAAACTTAGTAATGGAATCTAGCGCTTTTTTTTTTTTCCTATTCCAACGCTTTGTATGTGTGGAATAATATTACACTTACAAGCTTTGTGTATTGGTTTAAGCCTAGTAATGGAATCTAGCGCAAAGCTTGTATAGACAGATGAATAACTCGTACTTAATGAAAAACATCATATTTATAACATATTAATCATATTATTTTATTATAATTACTTCATGAAGTTCCACTACTAACCCATAACCCAAAACCCATTATATATATATATATATTAAAAAAAAAAAAAAAATCCTTCTACTAACATTAATTATTAGAATTTAACCCTTGCTAATGGTTCCTGATGAACTCTGAAATTCCTTGAAGAAGACGATAAGTTTGGGCACCCGTTTTCGGGTCCATATCCACCGCGATTTTATTCAAATAAAAACTATGGCCCATCCCATAATTCATGAACAATTCCACTTCTTTACCTGCCTTTTTCATCGCCTCATAATACTCCATTTCCGTGTCTTTTATCAAGTCATTCTCCGCTACACACAGCAGAAACGGCGGCAGTTTCAGCCCGTCAAACGGCGGTGCAGCCGCCCCCATTGGACACGTCAAAGGATGATCCTTAGTGCACTTTAACGGCAACGCCAGCTTCAAGAACTTGTCCACCATGTCAAGCGTTAAAAAAGGTGACTCCGGCTGCTCCAACTCGGACTTGCTCCGTTCGGCCCGAACAAAGCCCGGGTGGATCGGAATCGCGCCCGCTAATTTTAACGGACCCATGTCGGGCAGCACGTGTCCTGCACGTGCTGCCACTTCATGAACCACGTTCCCTCCCGAGCTGTCTCCAATGAGAAACACTCGGTTGAAGTCTCCATCTTCGCTGAGCCACGGCTCGTGTGAGCGGCCCTCGGCCTGTGACCGGAGCCAGAGGAGGGCTTCGAAGCCGTCGTCGCAGGCGGCCGGGAGGCGGTGCTCCGGGGCCAGCCGGAGATAGATGGAGACGACGATGGCCGGGACTGATTTCGCAAGTTTAGTATAAATGCTATAGTACATAAACCAACTGGCTTCACTGATGCAAAATCCTCCGCCATGAAAATGAATCAGAATTGGGAGCTTGGTTTGGTTTTCAGAGTCTTGTTTCGGTTTATATATTCTGACGCGGAGGCCGGAGGTGGGGTTGATGGTGAAATCACGGGTAGCAACGCCGTCAATGAAGTGGATGTGGGGCGGCACCGGTTCGGCCATGAACTTGACCTCCGGGGGACCGGACCAGGTGCGGTCGACGGAGCCGTCTTCTAATATTCGGAGCCAGCCGGAGACTTCTTCGACGATTTTGAGCCCGCGAACCATGGCTGAAAAAGGGAAGTGTTCTAAATTGAGGGAAAAGAATGGAGAAGTGGGATTTGAGTGTGGAGTGTGGAGATTGAGAGGGTATTTATAGAGGAGTTTGAAGGGAGAAATTTCAAGGCACTTTACGAAGAAATTCTAAGGTGAGGTTCAGCGTCGTGCAGACGGAAAATTTATCGAATTTTTAATTAATGAGTGGGGCTACTTGCCGGTTTACATTATTAGAGAATTACTTAAATTATCTATTTTGGATATGAAAAAAAAATAAAAAATAAATAGATAAAGAAATCTACTTTGAAAGGGCATAAAAGAAAATGAAAAGAAAAGAAAAGTTATTGAATCCAATTAGATTTAACATTTAAAGTCTAATCTCTTTTTTTTTTTCAACTATAAATAATATATGAAAATTATTATTTATAGTTGAAAAAAGAAAAGATTAAACTTTAAATATTATGTTGGTAATTTGATGAAATATTAAATTAAAATATAATATGAGTCTTCACCATTTGTCGTTTAGTTATGACTGGTGTTAGGAGTTTCTTGAGTTTGAAAGCAGAAATTTCCAGGAACTGCACATTCAAATTCAATCGTGTTTCACTCTTTCAAAGGATTCAATTAGATGGAGTGGGGCTCCCTGCTTTTCTCAATTTTTTTTATGTTTATATTTTGAAAATCTAACTTCAGAAATTTTCTTTCTATTTCTCATCCAGATAAGTACTATTTTAATTGAGTAACACTAAAAAATTATATTCATAAAACCATTGAAGGAAGGCTTACAAAATTGAAGCAATATTAGACTTATAGTATTAGAATTAATGTCAGGGTCACTTGTTAGAATTCAATGAAAGTCAAAAGGAGCTTAAAAAGGTGGAAAAAGAAGACAAAGTGGACTATGATTCTATTTTTTAAATCCAAAAGATCAAAATTAAATGTTTAGTTAATGGTGGTTATTGGTTAACACCAGCCACCGTCTGCTCAAAGTTAATAAGGTGGTTAATATCAATCAACATTGGTTAACTATTGGTCAAAATTTACAGATACTTATTTTAATAATCATTAAAATATAAAATAAATAACATTAAAATATTTGTTTTAAATATAAAATTTAAATTCAAAATAGGGTCAAAACAAAATTATTTTGTCTAGATTCCCTACCCATAGAATATTTAAGAAATCCTCTACCAATGATGAAACCTACCCATATAGTTTTCATAATTGATTAATCAAAACACAACTGTTCACATTTTTCATCAAAAACTACTCCTATAGTTTCATAATTAATTACTTATTATATAACTATTGACATCTGAGTAATGTTATGTGCACTAACTAATGTGTATTAATGTAAGTACTAACATCGAAAATTTGAATTTTTTTTGGGGAAATTTCAAATTTTCAATGTTAGTACTTGGATTAGTACACATTGGTCAGTGCATATAGTATTATTCTTCGCATTTTCATTGAAAATTACTCTTGTGCATATGAATTCAGTCATTTTTTTATTAAAATTTTAACAAAACAACTTTAATATGTATTGATATTAATTTTATTCAATATAAATACAATTGTTCTTTGACTTATTTTCATGGTTGTGAAAATTATATAATAATACTATAATGGTCAATACCATTTAATATATTAATTACAAATAACAAAGTAAAACAAACAAAACACAACTGAAGGAAAACAAAAGAAAAAGTTAAAATAATTAAACCTCCATCCTTCCTAACCTCGGTTACTTGCCAAAAACCGGTAATCAAAGCCTCCTCTCCCTAGGGTTTTTTCGTTTTGATTGATGATTTGGGTTTGATTTGTTGGAAGATGATTGAGGAAGGTTTTTTGTAGTGTTGTTGCTTGTGTTATTGATTTTTTGATCGTCGACACTCCCAAATGCTCTCACCTTCCACCTCTTCCAGTGTGCACGCCATCGTTCGACAAAAGGCCACACCTAGCGCCTACCCCCAAGCGCGCACACTTGCACACCAGTCATTGTTTGTTTGGGATTTTTGGAGTTGATTGTTTGATTTTCGAAATGTTTGGGTTTGTCGTTCGACGACAGTGGCTAGGTGGTGGTGGCAATGGCAATGGTTGGGTGGTTGGAGATGAGGATGATCTGAAGGTTGAAAAAGAGAATGTTATTGAAATAAATTTAAAAGTAAGATGTTTATTTTTCTAATTCTACTAATTTGGGGGTTAAAAGTAATTTATTGATTTATTTGTCAAGGGCGATATGGTAATAGCACCTATGTCAAAACCTAAAAATCACTAATGGTGCTGGTTTAAGGTGGGAATCTGGAATTTATAAAACCAAGGACGAAAACTTACGATTTCGTCGAACCTTGAGTGTGAACATGTCGTTTACTTGTAATTATATTATAAACGATGAACTATGTGTGTACATGTAGTGTCAATTCTTATATAACAGATAAGATAATTAAATAAAACATGTGTTTTGTTTTTTTCCACTTAAATGTGACTGTTTTTTGATAGTAATCGAATTATAGAATAGAAAAAATTACTAAAAGGTTAATATAATTGATTATGAAAAGTAAAAAAAAAAAAAAAAATAGAGTGTTTCTTTAATTTAGTGTTCTGAAACCCGGACTGGATCAGCCGGTCGGATCGGTCTGACTAGGTATCGATAGCCTCTTTAGTCTGGTTCAGGTTTCAGGGGGTTTTTACAAGATTTCAAAACTTTAGGGACTAATTGTAATTTTCTATGGGTTTTTCAATAACTCAAAGCTTTAGGGACTAATTATAATGTTTTGGGGCATTTTTACAATATCTTAAAATTTTAGAGACCAATTGAAACTTAAAAGATATTTTGTAATATATTAAAACTTTAGGGACTAATAAATTTTTAAAAATGTTTTTATCGATGATGTCACTCATCGGCCGGTCAACCAAAGAAATGAGCTCTTAACTAGGTTAAGGCTCGATCTAGTTTTCAAAACCTTGCTTTAATTTAATTTATAATTAGATAATGACCATCGAACAACCTACATACTACAGTACCTTTCGAATTTATTTTCTACTTTATCATTACTACAGGTGTTCATTATTGTATTAAATGTTTTTATTTTTAAATTAAAAAATAAGAATAAAAACACACTTAATATCATTTTTTATTAGACGATAAATAAGAGAATAAAAAGATAGAAAACAACTTTTTTGTTTTGTGTTGAGATCTTTATAACTTTGATAAGTTACGTAAGATCTTTATAACTTTGATAATAAAGATAGGATACGTGTTACAAGTTGAGTGGCGTTGTCTCTTTCAAGAGTTGAAAATTAAAGCACGTTTTTAAACAAATGTCAAATGTATTAAAGCAGCCGCGGGAACCACCTTCCACTTTGATGAAATTGTGTGGAAGCTTAGAGCTAAATTTTGATGAAATTAAAATAGCTAGGTTTGTATTAATTTGTATATACCCAGTTTTATTATTCAAAATCCCAAACTAATCTAGGTCTAAAATAAAATATCTCGTGGCTCATGTACTTTTATTCATTTATATAACAAAAATGACGTAATTATTTTTAATTCTCAAAACCATCACAAACTATTAACCACCCGATAGATTAAATGTGTAAGTCAAAACTAAGGATCGCATAATCAGAATTGCTTTGTCAACCTTATAGGATTTCTTTGAAGGAATCCAAGACGAACTTAGAAAACACGATATTTTCTTCTTATATTAATTGATTCACTTTTTTCTTTTCCCAAATCACATGCCTTTATGTAAACAAGAAGCAAGACCGACCCTATAAGCTTCCTAATATATATTTAATTTATATAAAAAAAGATAAATATAAAAATAAAATCTTAAGGCTTCTAAAAGTAAAATATATTAGGATCATCCATTATCACTCTTATAATTTTGATCTGAAGTTAAATTGTTTGTAAAGTAAATATATATGTGATTAAGCAAGAATCTACATAAATCCCAAAATGTGGCTTATTAAACTAATGTAAACCCTAAAATGATGTTTGTAAAATAATTATTTAATATAATAATTTATTAATAAAAAAAAAAATAAACAACGTTTTTCATTATAATTATCATGTTATCAATATCGAATAATTGATGAAAGATGTTGGTAGATAGGCATTTATATCGAAAAAAAAATGCTATATGTACAAAGAGTCTTTGTACAAAGTGATGTGACACTAGTTTCACATCAATCTTCTCTTTCTTTTCACAAACTGGTGGTGTGACAAATGTTACGTTACTTTGTACAAAGACTTTTTATAAGAGTCTTTGTACATCTAACATTTCTTTTATGTCGAAATCCCAAACATTTATTTATAAAAAAATTTGATGTATTTTGTAACCACCAAAAACATCACAAGATATAATAAACTCGTTGGTTTCGAAAATGCAACCTTAACTCGATTTTATTAGTTAAATATTCAATAATATTGTAATAAAAAAAAAAAAAATTACCTAGTATAAAAATAAATGTAATGAAATATTTTAGATAAGAAAATTTTAAAAACTAGAAAAATTAATAAGTTTTGTATAGTAAGGACTAAGGAGGGGCACAAGGAAAAAGTTTAAAACACTAGGGACTATAAAGTTAAAATTCCTGGGGACCACGTGCCGTATATTTATAGTGTTGGGCTACTAATGTTTGTAAACATGCCCAAATTTATGTAGAAAGCCCAACTTTGAAATAAATAAAGGCCATTTTTATAAATCCTTTTCAGAAAACCGAAATCATAATAAACATGTTGTGATTTGTGTTCATTTAATGTTTCTGGCATAATCTACAGACTACAAATAGACCTCGTTTTCACAACGAACCTAATTTAAACAAACAGACACATCAACCAAGGAATCCAATGTGCATCCTAATTAGTGAAGAATATAACTAATATTTTTGGTTAAATAAAGCACCAAAATCAATCAATAATTTACATACATACACACCATCAATACAAAAACGAAAAGTATTTTCCGATAATTTCATTTCACATATATATAGCATGACTATTTTATTGGTGTGATGGGCTCGTAGCTCCATTTCTGTTGGAAGATCTTATGGATTTAACCTCTAATTCTTTCGGG